GGGATGATGGAGTGTTGTGGGGTGGGTCAGGGGGTGATGGGTTGGGTCACACTGGGATGGGCAGTGAGGGGCTATGGGGTGACAAGGTTATGGGGCGGGCAGCAATGGGGCAGCATGGAAAGGTGCAATGGGGTGGGGTGGGGGGGTGATGGGGTGACGGGTGGGATGGCACTGGGAGGCACTGGGAGGCACTGGGAGGGGATAATGAGGGCCATGGGGTGGGGTTGGGGGCTGGGTGGCACCGGGAGGGGCAGCGGGGGGCTATGGGGTGACAGAGCAGTGATGGAAGGGGGCAGTGGGGTTCTGTGGGGTGACAAGGCTATGGGGCGGGCTGCAATGGGGCAGCATGGAGAGGGGCAATGCAGAGCTACGGGGGGGTCAGAGGGTGACGGGGCGACGGGGTGGGCGGCACTGGGCGGCACTGGGAGGGGGAACAGTGGGCTGTGGGGTGACAATAGAGGAAGGGAACACTGGGGTTCTGTGGGGTGACAGGGGTACGGGGCGGGCTGCAGTGGGGCACCATAGGGCAGCGCAGTGCTTCGGGCGGGTGACGGGGTGAGGGGCCGGGGGCACCGGGGGCTTTGCGGGCTCAGCCGCGGCCCCGTGTCGCCGTTACCGCCGCAGCCGTCCAGGTCCAGGTCCCCCAGCGGGGCGATGGCGGCGGCGAAGCGGCCGTAGGGCTCCGTGCCCGTCAGGGTTTGGGGGCGCCGCTCCCACGGCCGCCGGGAGCCCCCCAGGTAGGCGTAGAGCCGCCCCACCTCGCGCTGCTTCCCCTCCGCGCGCCGCTCCACGAACAGCGGGGCTCCCACCAGGACGTCGTCCCTCCTGCCGCCGTCCCAACCGTGGTCCCACAGCCCCAAAGCCCGGGGCTCCACTGCCTCCATGGCCCCATAACCCCATGGCTCCACTGTCTCATAATCCCATAACCTTGAAACCCCATAACTCTGTGGCCCCATAATCCCGGAACCCCACAACTCCACGGCCTCATTGCTCCATGACCACATGATCCCACAGCCCCATAACCCCATGGTTCCATTGCCCCATAACCCCATGGTTTCGTTGCCCCATGCCTCCATAACCCCACAGCTCCATGGCCCCATAACCCCGTGGTTCCAAAGCCCTATAACCCCATAACTCCAAGGTTCCACTGCCCCATAGATAGCTCCATGACCCCATGATTCCACAGCCCCACAACTCCATGGTTCCATTGTCCCATAACCCCCTACATCCATGTCCCCATAACCCCATGGCCCCAGAACCTCATCACTCCAAGGCCCCATTACCCCATGGCCCCATAACCCCATACATCCAAGTCCCCATAACCCCATTGCCCCATAACGCCATCACTCCAAGGCCCCATAACTCCATGGCCCCATATCCCCACAGCCCCACATGGGGTCAGGAGGCTCTTGGTGCTGTCACATTTGGGATCCTCACCCGTCCCCGTTGACATCGGCCACGGCCACAGTGTGCCCAAAGTAGGAGGCCACCTGGGGTGGGGGGGGCAATGGGGTGGGGGTGGCACCAGGTGCAGAGTGGGGTTACCAGGGCTCCACGCTATGGGGTGCTATGGGGTGATGCATAGAATGCTATAGGGAGATGCATTGGGTGCTATGGGGTGGTACGTGAGGTGCTATGGGGTGCTGCATTGGGTGCTATGGGGCGGTGCATGGGGTGCTATGGGGCAGTGCACTGGGTGCTATGGGGTGGTACATGGGGTGCTATGGGGCAGTGCTTGGGTGCTATGGGGTGCTGCATTGGGTGCTATGGGGTGGTACATGGGGTGCTATGGGGCAGTGCTTGGGTGCTATGGGGTGCTGCATTGGGTGCTATGGGGCGGTGCATGGGGTGCTATGGGGTGATGCATGGGGTGCTATGGGGTGGTGCATTGAGTGCTATGGGGCGATGTGTGGGGTGCTATGGGGCGATGCATGGGGTGCTATGGGGTGAGGCATTGGGTGCTATGGGGTGATGCATGGGGTGCTATGGGGTTGTACATGGGGTGCTATGGGGTGATGCATGGGGTGCTATGGGGCGGTGCATTGGGTGCTATGGGGTGGCGCATGGGGTGCTATGGGGCGGTGCATGGGGTGCTATGGGGCAGTGCATGGGTGCAGTACCTGCTCGCTGGGGATGCCATACAGCCGGCGCAGCGATGGCCCGCTGAAGATCTCCACCTGCCCCATAGCGCTGTCGGTCCCTGATGGCCCACGGGGCGCCCGCCCCATCGCAGGACACCCCCCGCCCCACAGCGCCCGCTCACCTCGCCCCTCGTGTTGCCTTTATTGGGGACCCCCACTACGAACTCTGTGGGGTGGGCCGGCCCTGAGCGCCCGCGGCTTCTGGGGCACAGGGGGCCGTGGGGCCACAGCCCAACAAAGGGGTTTGGGGGGAAAACGGGCAGCAAACCTTTGGTTTCGGGGTTGCCATCGAACTCTCCCACGGCCACGGAGTACCCTGTGGGGACACGGGCACGGTCACCCCTCCGCCCCCCGAGTTCCCCCCCCCAAGCAGTGGGGCAGGGCTGCTCACCCCGGTACCCGTCGATGTATTCGGGGTCCGCCTGCTCAACTGTGGGGCGGCCGGGGCTGTGGGACCACAGCAGGGAGGAGTTGGGGAAACGGGCGAGGATGGAGGCCGCCTCCACCACGTACAGCAGCCCTGCCACGGCAGCGCTCGTCACACAGGGACACACAGGGACACACAGGGACACACGTGGTGGCACCCATTGCCACCCACTGTCACCCGTTGTGTCACCACTGTGACTCCCATTGACACCCATTGTGGCACCCATTGTCACGCATTGACGCTCATTGTCTGTCGCTGCTACCCACTGTGTCACCCACTATCACCCATTGTCACCCATTGTGTCACCCACTGTGTCACCTGCTGTGTCACCCATTGTGTCACCCATTGTGTCACCCATTGTCACCTGCTGTCACTCATTGACACCCATTGTCCACCACTGCCACCCCATGTGTCACCCATTGACAGCCACTGTGTCACCCACTGTGTCACCCATTGTGTCACCCATTGTCACCCGCTGTCACTCATTGACACCCATTGTCCACCACTGCCACCCCATGTGTCACCCATTGACACCCACTGTGTCACCCATTGTGGCCCCCATTGTGACTCCCATTGACACCCATTGTCACCCACTGTGTCACCCACTGTCACCAATTGGCACTCACTGTGTCACCCATTGTGTCACCCACTGTGTCATCCATTGTCACGTACTGTCACTCATTGACACCCATTGTCCACCACTGCCACCCCATGTGTCACCCACTGACACCTGTTGTGTCACCCACTGTGTCACCCACTGTCACCAATTGACACACATTGACACCCATTGTGTCACCCATTGTGGCACCCATTGTGACTCCCATTGACACCCATTGTAGCACCCACTGTGTCACCCACTGTCACCAATTGTTACCCACTGTGTCACCCACTGTGTCACCCATTGTCACCTACTGTCACTCATTGACACCCATTGTCCACCACTGCCACCCCACGTGTCACCCACTGACACCCACTGTAGCACCCACTTTGTCACCCACTGTCACCAATTGACACACATTGTCACCCAATGTGTCACCCATTGTCACCCACTGTCACTCACTGACACCCACTGTCCCCCAGTGACCCCACTGTGTCCCCTATTGACACCCACTGTGGCACCCATTGTGGCACCCATTTTCTCTGTCACCCACTGTCACCCACTGACATACATTGACACCCACTGTCACCCACTGTGCCACCCATTGTGACTCCCATCGTCACCCACCGCGTCCCCCATTGTCCCCCATTGTGCCCCTCTGTCCCCCACTGTCGCAGTGCTGTCACACGGGGCTGGGGGCTGCACTCACCCCTGAAGTAATACCCCCCCGGAGCACCCAGCGCCAGCGTGCCGTCCTGTGGGGAGACGTGTGCCGGGCTGCCCCACAGCCACCCCATAGGGACGCCCCAAACACCACACCCCACAGCACCCCATAGCGATGTCCCCATGGCCACCCCCTAGAGCGCCCCACAGGGACGTCCCAAGTACCACCCCCGGATGGCCCCATAGGGACATCCCGTTAACCAGTCCTGGGAGAGCCCCATAGGAATATCTGCACGGACATCTCACGGATGGCCCCACAGGGATATCCCATTGCCCACCCCCTGGAGCACCCCATAGGAACACCCTCATGTTCTCCCCATGGATGGCCCCATAGGGATGTCCCCATTACCCACCCCATGGAGCTCCCCATAGGGATATCCCATTAACCTCCCCTAGATCACCCCATAGGGACATCCCATTAACCACCCCTTGGAGCTCCCCATAGGGACATCCCAAGCATCATCCATTGGAGCATCCCATAAGGACATCCCATTATCCAGCCCCAATAGCCCCATAGGATCACCCCACATTCCCCTCCCACCCCCACCCCCATCCCTACAGCCCTCACAGACCCCAGGAGCA